TTATTTTCTAGCAATCTATCTTTCTTTCATTTTTTTTTGCTTGCTTCCTTATAGTCTTTCTTCACTTTCCATTCCAATATTTTTCTTATTTATTCCAGAAAAAAGAAAGAAAAAAGACGATAGGTTCTTGTTCTTTCTTTCTTCCTTTCTTTATATTTCCCTCTCTCTATATCCTACTCCTTTTCATAACGGGTCTTCTCTTTTCTTTTTCATCTATGCGTGTCTTTCTTTCTTTCTTTCTTTCTTTCTTTAATCATATCTCCCATTTCTTTCTATCTAATGTTTTTTTTCTACATGTCTCTTAATTCTTTCTCTATTAATTTTTCGTTCATTCTTTCTTTCTTTTTTCTTTCTTTCTTTCTTGCAGTTTTTCTCGCGTAGTTTACTTTTATTCTCTTTTAGTTTTCTTTCATTTGGTCTTCTCTTGCTTACTTCCTTATAGTTTTTCTCTCTTTTTTATTCTTGTAGTTTTTCTCATTTTTTCAGATAGAAAGAAAGAAAAACGAGTCTGCTAGGCATTTCTTTCTTTTCTTTCTCTTCTATACGTGTCGTTTTTTCTTTCTTTCTTTTCTTTCTTTTCTATACGTGTCTTTCTTTCTTTCTTTCTCTTCTATACGTGTCATTCTTTCTTTCTTTCTTTCTTTCTTTTTTCTTTTCTTTCTTTCTTTCTTTCTTTCTCTTCTTTACGTTGTCATTTTTTTCTTTTTTCTTTCTTTCTTTTTTATTAACTTTCTTTTTTCTTTTCTTTCTCTTCTATTCTTTCTTTCTTTTTTCTTTCTTTCTTTTCTTTCTTTCTTTCTTTCTTTCCTTTCTCTTCTTTCTTTCACTTTTCTTTAACGAATCATTTTCTTTCTTTCTTTTTCTTTCTCTTCAATATCTCATTCTTTTCTTTTTTTCTTTCTTTCTTTCTTTCTTTCTCTTCTTTCATTTTTTTCTTTCTTTCTTTCTTTCTTTCTTTCTCTTCTATACGTGTCATTCTTTCTTTCTTTCTTTCTTTCTTTCTTTCTTTCTTTCTTTCTTACGCCATTTTTCTTCTTTCATTCTTTCTTTCAACACTTTCTTTCTTTCTTTTCTTTCTTTTCTTTTCTTTCTTTCTTTCTTTTTTCTTCTTTCTTTCTTTCTTTTCTTTCTTTCTTTCTTTCTTTCTTTCTTTCTTTCATTCTTTCTTTCTTTCTTTCTTTCTTCTATACGTGTCATTTCTTTCTTTCTTTTTTTTTTTTTTTCTTTTTCATTTTTCTTTCTTTTCTTTTCTTTCTTTTTTTTCTTTCTTTAGTTTGATCCATTTTTTTCTTCTTTTTCTTTCCGCTCTCTTTCTTTCTTTTCTTTTTTTATTAACAATTTTTTTTTCTTTCTTTTTTTCTTTCTCTTCTATACGTCTTTCTATTCTTTCTTTCTTTTTCTTTCTTTTTTCTTTCTTTCTTTTCATTTTCTTTCTTTTCTTTCTCTTCTATTTACGTTTTTTTTAACGAATCATTTCTTTCTTTCTTTTTCTCTCTTCTTTACGTGTCATTCTTTCTTTCTTTTCTTTCTTTTCTTTCTTTTCTATTTCTTTCTTTTTTCTTTTCTTTCTTTTTTTTCTTTCTTTTCATTTTCTCTTTTCTCTTTCCTCTCTATTTCCAACACTTTTATTAACGATCGTTTTTTCTTTTCTTTCTCTTCTATACGTGTCTTTCTTTCTTTTCTTTCTTTCTTTCTTTCTTTCTTTCTTTCTTTTCTTTCTCTTCTTTCTTTCTTTCTTTCTTTTTCTTTCTTTCTTTCTTTTCTTTCTTTCTTTCTTTTTTTCTTTTTCTTTTTCTTCTTTCTATTTCCAACACTTTTTATTAACGAATCGTTTCTTTCTTTTCTTTCTCTTCTATACGTGTCTTTCTTTCTTTTTCTTTCTTTCTTTCTTTCTTTCTTTCTTTCTTTCTTTCTTTCTTTCTTTTTCTTTCTTTCTTTGCCATTTTCTCTTTTTTCTCTTTTCACTCTCTTTTCTTCACTTTACGTGTCATTCTTTCTTTCTTTCTTTCTCTTCTTTCTTTTCTTTTTTTCTTTTTTCCATTTCTTTCTTCTTTCTTTCTTTCCTTTTCTTTCTTTCTTTATTTCTCAACATTCTTTTATTAACGAATCGTTTTTTCTTTTTTTCTTTCTTTTCATTTTCGTGTCTCTTTCTTTCTTTCTTTCTTTCTTTCTTTCTTTCTTTCTTTCTTTCTTTCTTTCTTTCTTTCTTTCTTTCTTTCTCTTCTATACGTGTCATTCTTTCTTTCTTTCTTTCTTTCTTTCTTTCTTTCTTTCTTTGCCATTTTCTCTTCTTTCTCTTTCCACTCTCTATTTCCAACACTTTTTATTAACGAATCGTTTCTTTCTTTTCTTTCTCTTCTATACGTGTCTTTCTTTCTTTCTTTCTTTCTTTCTTTCTTTCTTTCTTTCTTTCTTTCTTTCTTTCTTTCTCTTCTATACGTGTCATTCTTTCTTTCTTTCTTTCTTTCTTTCTTTCTTTTTTCTTTTTTTCTTTCTTTTTTCTTTTCTTTTCATTTTCTCTTCCTTTTTCCACTCTCTATTTCCAACACTTTTTATTAACGAATCGTTTCGTTTCTTTTCTTTTCTTTCTTTCTTCTTTACTTTGTTTTTTCTTTCTTTCTTTCTTTCTTTCTTTCTTTTCTTTCGTGTTTCTTTTTTCTTTCTTTCTTTCTTTCTTTGCCATTTTTCTTCTTTCTCTTACTTCTTTTCAATTCTTTTTATTTTCTTTCTTTCTTTTCTTTTTTTTTCTTTCTTTGTCATTGTTTCTTTTTTCTTTCTTTCTTTCTTTTCTTTCCTATACTCTCATTTTTCTTTTCTTTCTTTTTTTATTTTTCCGTTTCTTTTTCTTTTCTTTCTCTTCTATCTATTTCCAACACTTTTTTTAACGAATCGTTTCTTTTCTTTTCTTTCTTACGTTTCTTTCTTTCTTTCTTTTCTTTCTTTCTTTCTTTCTTTCTTTCTTTCTTTTTTCTTTCTTTTCTCTTCTATTCTTTCTTTTTCTTTTCTTTCTTTCTTTCTTTCTTTCTTTCTTTCTTTCTTTATTTGCCATTTTCTCTTCTTTCTCTTTCCGCTCTCTATTTCCAACACTTTTTATTAACGAATCGTTTCTTTCTTTTCTTTCTCTTCTATACGTCTCTTTCTTTCTTTCTTTCTTTCTTTCTTTCTTTCTTTCTTTCTTTCTTTCTTTCGCATGTTTTTCTCGTAGTTTCTCTTTATTTTTTGAAGTTTTCTATTCCTTCAATCTTTTTCTTTATTGTTTCGTTCTAGTCCTTCTATGTCTTTCATTCTTGTCATTTTTGCCCTTTTATTTTCTAGAAAGAAAGAAAGAAAAAAGAAAAAAGGAAGAAAAGAAACAGGACCTTGTTCCATTCTTTGTTTGTTTGTTTGTTTCTTTTTTTTCTTTTCACTTCCGTCGTATTTCTTTTTTCTTCTCATTCCCCTCTCTATTTCCTAAAGAGATATTAACGAGTCTTTCCTTTCTTTTCTTTCTATTCTGTACGTGTGGTTCTTTCTTTCTTTCTTTCTTTCTTTCTTTCTTTCAAAACGATTGCTCAACTAATTCAGAGAAAAACGAGAGTGATAGGAAATTTGTTAAAAAAAAAGAAAGATACAACGATAGGCTGAGAGAGAGAGAGAGAGAGAGAGAGTGAATGACAGTGCGAGAGAGAAAGATAGTGAAAATGAAAACAGAAAGAGAAAAAAAAGTATAGAGGAGAAAAGAAAGAGAACGAGAAGATGGGGCGAGAGAAAAAGAGAGAGAAAGAGAAAGAGAGAGAGAAAAAGGAAAAAAAGCAAGAGAAGATGATAGAAGAGAGAAAGAAAGGGGGGGGGAAACAGACAATGAGAAAAAGAAAAAAAGAGAGTGAATAAAGAAGATAAAAGTAAAATTAGATTGAGACAGTGGGTGGGGGTAAACAGATAGAAAACAGCCTAGGGAAATGTTAAAATCATATAAGTAGATGAAAAGGAATCCAGCCGACCTTAATTTATTGGAATACAATTTTGGCTTCATCGTTTTTCATTCTTTAAGTTTCAAAAAATGCCATATTAAATAAAGTTCACAAGGCGGACTCCTTTCATGCCAGTAACATTCGCTTCACATCCTTTGTTTCCCTTTTGTTTATAATTTGGTTTCTGTTTCTTCTAAAGTCTTCGCGTTCACTTTCACTCCCAGTAAACCTCTGCATCTTAGTGCCATTATCGCCTTGCTTGGGGTGAATTGATTAAAAAAAATAACTTGCATAATTCTCTTTTTCTTTCTTTCTCCTTTTCTCCCTTTCTTTCTATCTTTCTTTCTTTCTTTTTTCTTTCTCGTTTTCTTCTTTCTTTCTCTTTTACTTTTTTCTCTTTTTCTTTCCTTCTTTTCTCTTTTCTTTTTCTTTCTTTCTTTCTTTCTTTCTTTCTTTCTTTCTTTCTATCTCTCTCTCTCTCACCTTTCTTTCTTTCTTTCTTTCTACTATTCTTTTCTTCTTTCTCTTTTCTCTAATTTCTACCATTTTTAAGCAAACATTTCTTTCTTTCTTTCTTTTTTCTTTCTTTCTTTCTTTCTTTCTTTCTTTCTTTTTTTTCTTATCGTTTTTTTTTTTTTCCTTCCCTTTTTTAATTTTACCTTTCTTTCTTTTCTTTCTTTCTTTCTTTCTTTCTTTCTTTTTTCTTTCTTTCTTTCTTTTTCTTTCTTTCTTTCTTTTTTCACTACCATCCTTTTCCTTTCATTTTTACCCCCCCTCTTTTGTTTCTTACCGTTTTTATAAACGACATTTTGCCTTTCTTTCTTTCTTTCTTTTTTTTTCTTTCTTTTCTTTCATTTCTTTCTCTTTTTCTTTCTTTTCTTTCTTTCTTTTGAGGCAATTTCTTTTATTTTTTTCGTTCATTCCATTTTCAAAATAATTTCTATCTTTCTGCTTTTTATTCGTTTTTTCCCTTTTTTCTTTTCTTTTCTATATTCTTTTTTCTTTCTTTCTTTCATTCTGTTTTCCTTTTTCTAATTTGCTTCCTTTCTTTTCTTTTTTTTCAGGTGTTTGCCTTTATTTTTGGGAACAATTTCTTTTAATTGGTTTATTTTTTCATTCAATTCCTTTTCAATCAAAGTTATATATTTGTTTTTTATATCTTTTTTTATATCTGTTTTTATATTTGTTTTTATTAGGTTTCTCCTTTAAAGTTTTCCTTTTTTAATCTTTATCATTTTTTATTTATTTCTTTATTTTTTTTTTTCTTTTTTTTTTTTTCTTTTTTCTCTTTTCTTTTTTCTTTTGTTCTTTTCTCTTTTTTTCTTTTCTTTCTTTCTGTTTTTTGAGCAGATTCTTTAAATGCTTTATTACTTAACTTTTTCCGCCATCTTTTATATCTACAATGTAAGCTATCTCTGCCTTTTTCATTCTCTTTTTTCTTTTCTTCAGTTTTCTTCTTTCTTCTTTCTTTCTTTTGGGGCAGTTTATTCTTATTTCTTGAGATAATAAAGTTTTCTGTTTTAGGTTAATTTTCTACGAATCTTCGCGCAGTCCTTTTCAGCTGGTGATTCGTTATTTACTTTGTTTATTGTCATTCTCTAAGTTTACAAGGGGAGCAGAAAGAATGTTGAATTTTCCTTTTTATGCCCTATTTATTCACTTACTTTGCATTTCTTTCTTTTTTTTCACTAATATTGTTTTTTTCTTTACCTCTTTACCGCCTTCTCGAATTCCAACCGTTTTTATAAACGACTCTTTTCTTTCTTTCTTTCTTTCTTTCTTTCTTTCTTTCTTTCTTTTCTTTCTTTTCGCATGTTTTCGTTTTTGCTTTTTTTTCTTTTTATCTCCGCTCACCTTCTTTCTTTCTTTCTTTCTTTCTTTCTTTCTTTCTTTCTTTCTTTCTTTCTACTACCGTTGCTTTTTCTTTTTTTTCTCTCTAATTTCTACCATTTTTATAAGCAACTATTTCTTTCTTTCTTTCTTTCTTTTTCATTAATATTCTTTTTTCTTTGCTATTTCATTCCCTTTTCTAATTTTACCATTTTATAAACGACTCTTTTTTTTTTCTTTCTTTTCTTTTTTTTTCCTACCATCCTTTTCTTCTTCCACATTTTTACCTCTTTGTTTTTACTGTTTTTTAATAAACTTTTGCCTTTTTCTTTCTTTCTTTCTTTCTTTTTTCTTTCTTTCTTTCTTTCTTTCTTTCTTTCTTCCTTCCTTTTCTATGTTATTTTCTTTTAGCCTCTAAACCATGTTTATAAGCAAATATTTTTTCTTTCCCTTTCTTTTTTCTTTCTTTTTTTTTAATATTTTTTTTCTTCTTTTGCCCATTCCTTCTTTTTTTAATTTTACCATTTTTATAAACGACTCTTTCTTTCTTTCTTTCTTTCTTTCTTTCTTTTTTTCTTTCTTTTCATGTATTATCTTTAGCCCAAATATTACACTTTTGCTTTCCCTTTTTCTTCTTTATATGACGATGCTCCCCTCCTCCGTTTTTTCACTGTTGTTTTCTTTTTTCTCATATTTCCTTACAGTCATCCCCCTCTCTCGCTTTTCCATTACTTCTTCCTTTTTCTCTTCGATACCTTTTTTTTTCCCCTTCCCAATCTCAATGTACTTTCTGATATCTTTCTACCCCCACCCCCATTGTTCATTTTCATTCTTCTTCTTCTTCTTCTTCTTCTTCTTCTTCTTCTTTTTTTCTTTCTTTCTTTCTTTCCCTCCTTTTTTGCACTTCCCGCTTTTCCCCTCTAGCTCTGACCTCACTTCCATCTCTCTTGCTTCCTATATTGCAATGGCGTTTTCAGTTGTTTCGAAATTACTCTCTTCCACTTAATGGTCCCCTCTCTTGCATTTTTCATTACACGGTCGAACGCATCTAATAGCGACTGGCACGTGATCAAGGGCGCGCTTGTAAATACTTCACATACACAGACCTACATGGACACACATCGACATTCATAACAAAGGCTTCTTTACACACTGAGAGACACGCGTGCAGTCACGTTGTCCTTATTAGACCCGAGATCTTCGACTGACCATTAGCAGTTGGCGGGATGACTTTTATCCACTGATTTTAATTGTAGGTTGCGAGCAATTTCCGAAATTCCTTAACGATACTAATTCCCCAAATAAAAGCCCCACTTTCGGATGCGGATTTTCAAGGGAGACAAGGAAGCCCTCGTCTATGTGAAAATCTTCCTAACCGTCAATAAGATCACATGTCAGGCTACGATTAATAAATCACATGTCAGGCTACGATTAATAAATCTATTCCCACTCTCTCTCTCTCTCTCTCTCTCTTTCTCTCTCTCTTTCTCTCTCTCTCTCTATCATTGTTGAAACTTCCTGACGAGGGTGCCAAACGATTACAAAAATCCCCCTGGCTCTCTCACGACATCTATCTATCTATCTATCTATCTATCTATCTATCTATCTATCTATCTATCTATCTATCTATCTAACTCAGTTTATATTGGTTGGTTTGTTTTGTTTTACGGCTTATCAAACTCAATGGTTATTTAATGCAAGATTTTTTATTGCTGATTATATTTTCTATTTATCTATCTATCTATCTATCTATCTATCTATCTATCTATCTATAATTGCTGAAGCCTCCTGACCAATGGACTGTACGATTACCAGATGTGTCGTCTACTAAACACAGGAGTCGTATATTTGTATTAATATATATATATATATATATATATATATATATATATATATATATATATATATATATATATATAACATGAAGTTCATGTTAAAAAAAAGTCATTAAAGCCACCGAAACGCAAGAGGTAATTGAGTGTGGACAAATTAGAAAACAGAAGCATTATTAAGGAGCAAGAATAAAAGAAAAGTAATCAGGAGGACTGCAGATAGCGATTGACATTGCATTTAAATTTTTGCAAACTAATGTTGGCTGGAAAGCATAGAACCGAAAGGGAGTTCCACAAGCGAGAAGTGCGAGAAAAGAAACGAAACTGTTAGCATAGAACTTACGATTACATCTAGCCAACTCAATTGTATATATATACAGTATATATATATATATATATATATATATATATATATATATATATATGAGGAATAATGAAATTTGTAGACTATATCAAAATTCTGGATGAAAATCTACAACTATCAGCACTAAATCTTCATCTAGGTCGGCGATTTAATTTCTAACAAGATAATGATTACGAACATACGTCTAAATCAGTGACTGCGTGCCTTCAGAAAAAGAAGATTATAGTATTGCCATGGCCTTCAATGAGTCCTGACTTGAATCCTATTGAAAATCTATGGCGCTCACACAAAACAGTGTAGGAAATAAAACATGCAAAATAATATGCAGTCGTTTTTTACCCGAGTAAATGTTGCGGACTATCTTAATACCTTTCTTATTTAAGTAGAGTTTCCCTAGCTGTTCAATTAGGTTTTCATTATGAAATCCTCTTACGCAATCTACCAAACATACAGGATATTCAAAAAGCCACATTACCGTTGATGCCCTTGTAAATTTTATATTTATTTACCAAATTGAATCCTGCTTCTCTATGTGACAATATACATTCAGCGACGAAATTATAAGTACACCCAATTTCGAATATTTTTATCCATTTCTCGGAATCTAATGCCCATATGATGTCAAGATAATGATCCCAAACATACGTCTAAATCAGTGAATTTGTGGCTTCAGAAAAAGAAGATTACAGTTCCGCTATGGCCTTCAATGAGTTCTGACTTGAATCCTATTGAAAATCTATGGCCAGAATTGAATGTTTGAATAAATCCTCGATTATTAAAAACCTTCAGGAATTAGAAAGTGTAACAGTTGAAGAATAGAACAAAATCTCAGAAAAGACTTGTTCAAATCTCATCGAAAACTTTAGAATACGATTGAAGCAAAGTTATAAAGATGATGGGGCCATTCTATTGACTATTAATATTGTGATAATTGTTCAATTTTTCTATTTTTCATACTGTACGAATAATTTTGTCTTTTCCTATTTTGAATAATTCGCCTGTCAAATTTGTTGTATTTAACCTATTGTTCTGAAAATTGAGTTGTATATTCCTTTTTTGTGCTAATTAAGATATAAAAAAATGCCATCATACGGGCATTGAATTGAGAAATGAATAAAAAAATATTCAAAATTGATGGGTGTACGAATAATTTCGTCGTTAGCTGTATTATTAAGAAATTTTTAATTGTCGAATTATGGAAGATGATGTCATGCAAATTTTCCCTGGTTGCTAATTCACAAGTGTATGTTTTCTGCCAGTTGTCACGTGAATTTTCGAATAGCCTGTAGACATGTCTTTTGACGTATTTCTTGTTCGATAGCATTTCTGTTATTCTATCCGGTGTCTACTGAAAGTATTCGCCCTTTCTGTTTCGGCCTTCAGAAGTCCACCGTCATCTATTAAGCGTTACTTATATGATAAATATTTAATTTCAAATTTGAAAAGAAATGTCATTTTTCAGATTATTTTGACGCAGGTGATTCATTATAAAAGCATGAAAATGACCGGAAATGACCGGAAGTAGAAAGAGGAGAGAAACAGCTATAGTCATTGTAGGATCTTAATATGAAAGCACAGTCCTCTTGCTTTTTGCTTTGAAACTATCTTTAATGACGTGGAACGCGACAGCAGACAAAAAAAATTATAAACAAAGGTTATTTGAAACCGGAACTGATCGATTGGTAATTTCCGCCTGAATATTTCGACTGAATCTTTTGAGATGTGCAATTATCAAAATTCCTAAATGACGTATTCGTCTATACTTCATTTCAGAATCTCGACTCGGGAAACTAACTCCGTTTTAATGTGGTCTATAGGGAATTTTTGCCCGAGCCTACGGGCTCGGATACCCCACTTTAAAACTCGGCCTTGTGCCACATCTTGCTGCGGGGGGCAGCGGGTAAATAATTACCTCATTTCTGGACAAGGGTTTCATCGCAGCTGCTATTAATGCCAGTAGAACATTTCTAGTGGTAGAGAAATAAGAAACAAAATATCTCGAAGAGCTGCCTGATAACTGGTAACAAGTCATTGCAAATAATGGGGAATACTTCGCTGAATAAAATGTAATTGCATTTTATTTTCAGAAGAATAGAGTTGATAAACAAAATCGGAAATTATTTATGATTCAGGCTACTCTCTATCTATAAAAGGCAGGATGTGTGTGTGTGTGTGTGTGTGTGTGTGTGTGTTTGTGTGACGAATGCACGGACGCAATTTTCGACGGATTTGCACCAAAATTTACATGCACATGCTCCAAGTTATCGGGAAGGTCAAGACCGACGTTGCATTTCCCAACTCCCATCGATAGTGGAAATAATCGATTTTTTCATGCTTCTACGGCACTTTTCATGTAGTTTGCGGTCATTTTCTACTGGTCAGAGTGAGAGCCTATAGCTGGCTGCCGCGAATAGGCAGGAAGATTCTATTGGCCAACGTGAGAGCCAACAGCTGACTGACACGAATCTTAACTAGCATGCTAGCATGCAAAAAAATCGATAGCTTCATTCGTCACAAGTGGGAAAAATTTAAATCTGCATGGCACTTTACTACAATTGGCTCATTCGCTTGCTTAAACTCAACGTTGATTCTGATTCCGCAGAACTGGGTTGGGTGTGAAAAAGTATTCGTTGTTAACATTCTTTTTTCATTCGGTTTTTCCAGTTACGAGTCTTTTTTTAAAGCTGATTGTTTTGTGTTAATTTTGTTTAGTTCTTTTTTTCGTAACAGATTTAATGTTTAGTTTAGAGCTTAGAAAAAATTCACAGTGTGAGATAGGCAAGAAGTAAGGCATGTAGCAACATCAGCACGTCAAAGGGCACTCCTTTAAAGGCAAGGAAGGGCAAAAATATTTTAAGTCAAGTGATAGCGATTGCTGTATGAGTCTTACTATTTTTGAATCAAGCACGGGCAACGCCGGGCCATGCTGCTAGTATATAATATTTACGCTATTTCACGTTTATTTGTAAAGAAATAAAAAAAAAAAAATACAACCCACATATAGCATCTATGGAGACCCTAATTCTCTTACCACACATCAAGACGAATTTCGCCCGCCCTCAAATTACCCAATGAACAAGAACTGTAAGCTGATGAAGGTATGTTTCTCTCCAGAAAGATTTAGCGTGACGTAACCAAATCCTATGGCACAACAAGCTATCGGAGTAGAAAGAGAATGGTGTAAATGGAGAAGAAGCAGCGATAGATACGGTCTGACGTAAAAAATGAGATTAGGGAGCGAAAAGAAAGGGGAATCGGTGTCAGGATCGCTGAGAACAACAGGGAAGGAGCGAAATCTCACTTATCAGCGCATTCATTATGACAAAGTTAGTTAAAAAGCGTGCATATTGATGTTTGATGTTCATGAATTATGATTAAGATGGCGACGAATGATGATGACTACTCACTCTTCCTGTGTGAAATGGCGGGAAACTGCCGACGATGATGTAATGATAAGCGAACGCGGTTAGATAACAAGCATACCAAAAAAAATGAAATTCTGGAAAAAAAAATCAATTTTAATTGAATAAAAGAAGTACAAGGTGACATTTTCAAAAAAAATCTCAACTCCCTTCAGTTCATCGACGATCATGGCTCTCCTCAGCTTCCTATTCATTAATATTTTTGAATTATAATGACTCCTCTTGGGGAAGGTTGTGTACGGTTTCCTCATCGTTTTCGCTACGGCTTTCAATTCAAATTTATCGCTTTTCTTACCCTTCCAAGAGAAAAGACTTTTTGGGTGGTAGCATCTGTTAGGGTCTCAGCTATAGGCAAATAGGTAACCCATAAACTGGGGTCAAAACACTATAAAAGTATAAAAATAGATATTTATAGAAAAAATACAATGTTGAAAAAGAAATATTACTGGCAATACATTTGACTGTCGGCCACAACCCTCTTTAAAAAAGTACGTCAATGAAACCTGATCTACAACCCTCTTCGGCATGACGACAAAATACATCCGCGTCCTGGCTAAGACGATAAATTACATCCGACAATAAGGCTGTTGATCAGAAGGTTTTGAGGAGCATGGAACCACTTCTTAATTGATGGTGCTCCCAGCTCTCTTCTGTCTCGGTGTGGTAGCACCTGTCAGGGTCCCAGCTCTCGGCAAATATTTAGCCCCCTCCCCACCAAAGAAATGGGTCAAAACACTATGAAAGTATATAAATAGGTTTTAATACCTGCAATACATTTTTGGAAAAAAATTACCCGCAGTACATTTTTGAAAAAATATTATCAGCAATACATTTTTGAAGAAGGAAAAAATTACCAGTGATATATTTTTGAAAAAAATATTACCAACAATATATTTTTGAAAAAAAAATATTACCAGTAATAAAAATCATATCGGCATTAAAAAACTCATTGAGGTTGATATACCGTAAAACAAAACAAAACAAACCTGGTCTACAAACTGATTTCTTACAAAGAA